GGGGGGGGACAAAGGCCTCCTGTAGCGAATCGAAGCGTTTTTGTAAGAAAAATATCCATATTCAAAACGTAATAATCACTTTAATCTAGCTTGCGCCAGCAGTTGTACACAGAAGCAGCTCCGGGAGGATGACGTAAGATATCGGCATTGCACATGCGCCGGTGAGTCTCGTGAAAACCAACGTTTATTAACAGGAGCAAAGGAAGCAAAGTTTCCTTACTTTAGCAAAAGAAATCCAGTCCGCAACATCGACCTCATACGTCATCCGCCCAGAACTGCTTCCATTTAAAACAGTGAGCGCAAGCTAGATTAAATTGATTATTACGTTTTAAATATGGTTATTTTTCTTACAAAAACGCATCTAAACGCTTTTGTTCACCCCCTGGAGCCATGTGAGACACTTTTTTTTATTATGGATGGATGCGCTTTATTTCACTTCTTTTGGACTGATGCACTGCAACACCTGCTGACTGCCATTAAACAGCTTGAAAGATCAAAGACCATTTTTAATATTACTCCGATAGGATTCATCTGAAAGAAGGAAGTCATATACGCCTAGGATGTCTTGAGGGTGAGTAATTCATGGGCTAATTTTCATTTTTGGGTGAACTAACCCTTTGAGTCTCATGCTTTTCAGATTTTTCTTAAAAAGTAACAGTTTTAGGAGAAACAGCTATTGAAATATCACTGCACACTCTTAACTGTGAACTCCTGAAAGAGCAACCTATGTGCAATGTTTTTCCTGGAGCTGCAGGAAAAAACATTTCCTTTTGGGTAGTCAGTGTTTGATCTCAGACAAGGCAGATTGTACTCAGATTTAGATACAGACATTCATTGGTATGCATGTGGTAGACGATATTTCACTGCTTATTGCTTGGCCAACATGCTCAACTTTTATCTGCCTTATCAGTACTGCACAACTTGGTGGATTGGAAATCTTTCTAAAATAGTATTTGCAATCAGACCTGGTGTCTGAATCAAACACATGTTGCCTTACATTTACATATAGCTTTGATCTTCTATTTTGTACGGCATTGCTATTCTACATCTCCAGGTCGGTGTGCAGCTTCTCAACATCTGGTCAGTACTTTCGATCCACATTTTTTTTCAAGACCTTCTGCCGGTCCAGTTTTGATTATATTTATTAGTGATGAGTTCTGTTCTCCCTCTGGCTTTCATTGCTTTTATAGTACCGTTATGATTTGTTGTTGAACTACAGTTGTGTTAAGGTTATTGTCTCATATTCATTCTCAATGGGTGTCTCGTTGATTTCTGTAGTGTATTTAACATTGCTTTTGCAAGTTCTACTGATTTGTCACTTAGATACTGTTATCTGGATAACAGATGAGGTTTTGTCAAAATTGCAGTAATGACTTGTTAATAGTCATAAAAGCATCAGTAGGAATGTGTTGTAAGCCACAAACCATGTTGTTCACTGGTTGCCACCATTTTCCAGGAAAAAGTGTGTTTATAAATGTATGGATTTACAGTATAGCTGTACAAGCTTCGATTACGTTTCTGTACATTTTGTACATGTTATTTTTGTAACAAAGAAAAACAGTTGCAAACAAAACCAATAGCTCTAATGTAATATAGTGCAATATATTTTATCAACACAAATCACTATAGTTTATGACCACGTTTTCTTATTGTCCTCAAAAAGTTCTGGTTCATTAGTTCTCTGTCTGCCTGGCAAAATGTTTTGTTTTTTTTGTGTGTGGCTCAAGTGTTTTCCCAAATCCCTAATGTCTAATAGCAAATGTGTTCCATAGGTAGCACTATGAAAAATGCTTCAGCTCATTTGCTGTTGGTGCGTTCACTTTACTATTTTCAAAATGTGATGAAATCACCCTTTAATGATTGCTTTCCATACCGCTATCAACTCTGGATGAGTGGCTGATGTGTCTTCTGGCTGCTTTATGTGTCGCTCTTACAGCTACAGACCTCACATGCTCATCTGATCCGGCACCTGATGTTTTTGATGTCTCTTGACGGTGGATGTTCTTTTTGCCTGGGGCGTGTAGTACTTTGAAGTCATACGGTTGCAGCCTTAGGACCCATTGTTCAGTGCTGGCAGAAGGTTTAGATTACGGACTAAATATAGTCCCTAGTATTTTGGTCTGTGATCAAATCCAACTTTCTCCCAAAAAGCTAAGGCTTCACTTTCTTTATTCCTATATTTGCATTCAGTCAGCCTGCAATTCACCAAGCGTGTATACATCTTTCCTCTTTGGTACCGAACAAACGCTCGTCTTAACCTACGGAATGTGCATCTGCTTTAATCTGCATTCTGTCATCATCCTTTTTGAAGTACACTCCAGTGCCAGGCTTGCCCAAAATGAGTTTGAATATGTTGCTGTACTGTAGCTTACAAGTCCCAAGAAGAAATGTCTTCATAGCTCATGTGATCTTTGCAGTTGATTTACTGAAAACTTTCATGAGGTTCAGTGTTCTTGCTTACCGAAATATAATACTTTGATATGAAGTGTAGTAATGAAACAGAAATAACGACAGATCCATATTTCCTCCACGTTGTGACGTACAGTGTACCAGATTATTGAAAAAGACACAAATCTAGGGCATTTTTTATAAATTACTAACACACACACGACTGTGGTCAAAATTTTACATACACTTTGCAGTATCTGCAAAATGTTAATTATTTGACCAAAATAAGAGGGATCATACAAAATGCATGTTATTTTTTAATTTAGTACTGACCTGAAAAAATATATTCCACATTAAAGATGTTAACATATTGTCCACAAAAGGAAATAATAGTTGAATTTATAAAAGTGACCCCATTCAATGTGGATGATTCACAGCTGTTTTTTTTTTTTTTGGGTAGTTGTTCATGAGTCCATTCTTTGTCCTGAACAGTTAAACTGCCCGCTGTTCTTCAGAAAAATCCTTTAAGGGTCTTTTTTTCAGCATAATTTGTATTAAAACCCTTTCAAGTAATGACTGTATGATTTTAAGATCCATCTTTTCACACTGAGGATAACTGAGAAACTCATATGCAACTGTTAAGTTCAAATGCTCACTGATGCTCTAGAAGGAAATCAGATGCATTAAGATTCTGGAGGTGAAAAATTTGAAGTTCAGGGTAAATTTTACTTATTTTATTTTCTGGGAAACATGTAGACATCTATAGCATCTGAAGGGCAGTACTAAATGAAAAAAATATGATATTTTGGCAAAATAAGACAAATGTACACATTCAATCTGTTCAAACGTTTTCACCCCTGGCTCTTAATGCAAATGAGTCCCTCATTTATCCTCAGTGTGAAAAGATGGATTTTAAAATCATACAGTCATTGTTGGAAAGGGTTCAAATATGCAAAAGATTCTGGAAAATCAAAAAATTTGTGGCACATGAAAGATTTTACTAAATAAAAATTACTGAATAAAAAATAAGATGCAATTTATTTTGGTAAAATAATTAACATTTTGCAGATATTGCAAAGTGTATGTAAAATTTCAACTGTATATACAGTTAAAACAATTTGTAAAAAATGTATTGCAATTTAAAATTAATGTTTTAATATATTTAAAAATTTTATTTAATCCTGTGATGTCAAAGCTGATTTTTCAGCAGCCATTATACATGATCCTTCAGAAATCACTCTATGCTGATTTGCTGATTTTTGTGGAAACAGTGACATTTTTTCATGATTCTTTGATGAAGATACATTTTATAACAGCATTTATTTGAAAAATGTTAACTTTTTAACATTATACATGTCTTAACTGTCACTTTAAAACAATTCGTCCTTGCTGAATGTATTTAAAAAAAAAAAAAAACTGCTTACTTTTTCCATAAAAGTAATTTACAGCACGGATGACTGGCTAAAAATAACAATTATATATACAAAAAAGTGTAATGTTGTAGACCATGCTAACAAACCATGACCGCTTGCACAGTTTTCTCTTATAGTGCATGACAGACAAAGCTGTGAGCAAGCCAATTAAATCAGTTTTGAAAAATCCTTGTTTTCCAAGAAAAGTCGAAAATGGAGCAAAGTGAATGACTTGTCTTTTTCAAAAGGGAAGCTTCTAGATACTATATGAATGGAAGCATGTGTTTATATTTTGTACTTATAAAAATGTATGTTTGTGGCAGAGTAGATCTAAAGATTCTTAAATATTACATAACTTATGTAGGAGCAACTTTTTTGTGGGGAATGTTTGATGGTTTAAAGAGTGGGGGGAAAAACCTTTGTTACTGCAGATTAAAGCGAGGCAGATCTGTGCTGCTAGAGAAGATGCAGGAATAGACGAGCATTTGCTTATGTGATGTGAAGTGTAGTCTGTGTTCAGGAGGAACACCCATGAGATAAATGTGGCTGTCTTTTAAATCACTCTTCTCATAAATACCCTTTCCACCTCCGTATTATCAGAACGCAAAAAGCAATAATGAGCTTGAGAAGCAGAAAGAAGGAATGAGGACACTAGAAATCTTCAGGTCATTAAGATGTCTTTCTAAAATGTTACAGTAAGATACAGCAGTGCAAAAGCAGCACATTCTGAAAGAAAATGACAAGCCTGACAGAACCTTGTATAAATAATTCCAGTGGGCTAATTCATGTACATATCAAATATTCTGCCTGTTTTTTCCATAGAGGGGAAAATGTGAATAAAAGCCGTGGCCCAAGTAGATTGCTTAAGATGAAAAGGGGCTCCATTCCCACTGTGCATATCCAGGAAGAGTGAGTTTGCAGCAAGTTTTGCACATCAGAGTGCTTAGCATCAGGCTCACAGCAGGAGAGGGACAGTGGCAGCCTGCCATTCCCACGTAAGATCCTCCTCAAACACAATAAGGACTGTTCCATCTAAACAGGTCATCCTCTTGCCATGAAACTCTGCTATAGGCTAGTCTGTCATGAAAATGTTCTCGTTACATTACAGATAAAAGCTGTCTAGTAGTCTGCCGTTTCTATATAATGTGAGTGATTCAACAAATTGCATTTATTTATTTAAAATATAAATAGACAATTGTTATAATCATTTAAAAAATTAATTACAATACTTAATTTTTTTTTATAAATAAATATATTTTTAACCCTAAAAATACAGCTTTGTCTGGGCTAAAAGTGGAAAAATTGCTTGTTGTCTGAGGCTGTACTTTTCTGCCATCACTGAGGATAAATTTCTGTTTCGTCTAATGGAAAACGCAATCACAGGAAATGTCTTGAGTGTGTGTGCAAAAAGATTTACAGCAAAACACTGTAATTATGGTCTTTTTAAGCTGCTAAAAAGGAAAAGTTCTGTCATTATTTACTCACCTTAAAGTCATTCCAAACATCACAAAAGTAGACCTTTTTCATACATTTCCTGGTTATTTTTCTCCATGTGATTAGAAGAAATGATACCTGGAGCTTTCAAAGTTCAAAAAGCAATATGTACTAGTATATCAAGTACTAGCGCTGCAAATAACTTGGAGTGAAGTATTACTTTAATAGCAATCCCGAAATTTGATAATGAAACTGACTGGATGGATTTTTTTACATGATGATACATTCATTATTATGCGCAATTATGTTGAAAATAAAACCCTTAAAACCCTTATACATCTCATGAGCTGTAATTACAAGGTGCTATAGTTGATATTAAGTTATGTGCTGAATGATGTGTTGTCTTGCTGTGGTAAACAGTGTACTTTTAATTAATATTAGCACAGTGTCAGCAGGGGTGGGTTTGTCACCAGACATGTGGGCCCTGATGATTAAACCTGGATAATAGCTTGTCTGGCTTGTGCATAATTTATATGTGAATGGGAATGGGTGTTTAATAACCTTATGTCTGTCTAATTTGAGCCAAAACACCCTGCAGTCAATTAACTTCCTTTACTTCTCTTTCCAAGCCAAGTGTTGGCTGTGACCACCAGCTCTTTTAGATGTGAACTAACTCAGCATGTATCAGAGCCGCCACAGCTGCCAAAACATGGACAACAAAGTGTGTAAAATTAAGAGTGTCAATGTGTTCCATGCCTTTCCCACCCTGAAATAAAAGGGAATGAATTGTACAAAGCTGAAATGCAATCACTTTTCTATGTCTTTCTGAAACAGGAAAATCAAAAGATGTGCATCATATTTATCATGCCCCATTTAAAGCCTTCAATCCAAAATAAATAAATAAGCGTATAATTCTGTCCTCTAGGTTAGATAATCCCTTGGCTCCGAGTTGGTGATTGGAACATGCAAAAAACTGTTTTTCTTTTTTCATCCCACTGTTGCAGTACTCTAATGATCATGTTTTAGAACAAAATGTGCATTCAAAATACTTTAAAAAATCTTGACATGAGAATATCCCTTTAAGGCAATTCAGTTCACTTGGCAGCCGTCTTGGTGATACCCCAGGCAGCTATGTCTGTAATTGGCATGCTAGTACAGCTCCATGAATGATGAAAAACCAGAGTTTGTCAAGATTAAACTTAAATGACTTTCCCTTATCATTGGGCAAACTGACATTTCTCTGAGCTCAAGCTTAAGATCTATGAGTGACACTGTGTCATTTAGATTAATATCAAAGATTCCTGTAGTCAAAAGCAGGCTACTCTTAATGCTTCCCTTCTTGAAATCGAGCCTCAAGATGCTTACTTTGAGGGTAAATGGAATAATGCCTTTTTGTTGTTCGACTCAAACTTTTTGCTGATCACTTAGTGTGCAGATTAAAACTGCAGTGGCTCCAGAATAGTCCACTGTATTTGTATGCATCCCACATATGCAGAAGCAGAATTATAGTATTAGACATACAAAGTGAGAGTAAAATTGCACGTCTGCCAGAAAATAGAAATAACACAAAAAAGTGTATGTGTATACAAAAATACATTTGTGAAATATTATTACAATTTAAAATAATTAATTCTATTTAAATATATTTTCAAATGTAAAGATTTCTTAATATTATCACTTTTGGAAAAAAGTGTTTAATGCTTAACAGTTTTGTTGAAACCATGTTAGACTACCATTCATAAGTTAGGGATAAATAAAAAATAATAATTTTTATTTAGCAGTTAAATTCGTTAAAAGTGACATTAAAGACATTTATACTGTTATGAAAGATTTCCTTTTAAAATACATCCTGTTTTTTCTTTTCTTTTCAAGAATCCTAAAAAACAAATGTATCACAGTATTTACAAAAATATTGAGCAGCACAACAGTTTGCACCAAATCAACATATTTGAATATTTTCTGAAGAATCATGTGACACTGAAGACTGGAGTAATGACTTCTGAAAATTCAGCTTTGCAATCACAGGAATAAATACATTTTTAAAATAGAAAAGACTTCTTTCAAACACATAAAAAAAATCTTAATGTAGTTTCTGTGTGTATAGCAATTTAAGACATTTTAGTGTTTTTTAGTATTGTAATTTTCAACTGATTTCCAGAGCTGCAGCTTTTAATGCTAATTTCCTAAAATGATCTCTTTAATTTTTTTATTTTGCAGTTGCAGGCTGTCCTGTATAACCCGGTCCACTGTTCGCTTCTTGGTTTTTCTGCCGCTAGCACATCCTTGCCTCAGGGCTACCTCTGGGTAGGTACACTTTGCACAATGAGAACATATTTTCTTCTTTATAAATCATCACACTTGTGCTGGAATATCATAATATCTCTACACATCTCTGAGGGTGCATGTCCCTCACTTCACCTCTGATGCACCTAAGGGGAAACAAATCACCCACAAACATTTGAATAGTCCACCTCTAACCAGGGCTGTCATCAGGACGGTAGAACTGAGAATATCGCTTAAACTTTCTAACAATATTCCAATTTCCCAGACCTCCAGTATCACATTTTACTAAGTAGTCATTTAGCAGGTGTTCTTTTATCCACATACAGTATACTTGGTCAAAGGCACAATGGAAATAGCTCATGCATCATTCCCTACAGGGTTTGAACCTTCATAATTTGCCTCGGCCCAGTATTCAGTTTATATTTAAGCGATATTTCATAAGCAAGAGTGATGTCATTCTGAATACTCATTACACTTTACAGTACAAGTAAAATTAATTAGATATTACATATAACTTGTATTTTTACAGCAAGTGTGGGTAGTATTTAGGAGAGGCCCACGATCACTTGTTTTATTCTTGAATGAATCAGTGTTTGAATGAATCGGTTGAATGAATGATTCAGTGACTCATTCATACTTGTCGCCACTTGCTTGCGTAACAATGTAACTTTCAGAAGGAGGCACTCCTTCACAAACTGTAAAAGTCCCAATGCTGTTAGACCAATTTGTTAACTAGTTTATTTAATTTCCAAAATAAATGATTCCAGGCCATGAACCATTTCTTAAATCTGACTGAATCACAACTCTTTTCTGTGATATTTTTCTTTTAGCTTACAGAGCTTTTCCACCTGAAGTAAGTGATGGTAGCAGGAGCTCTGCAAAAAAATAAAAATGAAAATCACTGTTAGAATAGTTTGATCGACGTTTAAAAGAAAGAGGGAGGCAGGATTAAAAGTTTCTCGAAAGGCAGCTCTAGAAACAAACATCAAGTATCCCACATCAAAAGACATTGTATAAATCATTTATCTCATGGCTGTGCTTCCACATTTCTTCCCCATCAATTTTGCCTGCAGCCTCTCAGAGGGCTGTCAGTGAGTTCAGGCACTGGATGTCCTCCTTCTCATGTTTGTTTTCTTTTTGTTGTCTCTTCGATTGCACAGGTGGCTAGTGGGGGTGACGACTCTCACGGGCAGGTGGAGATTTTCTCCCTTAACAGACCCACTCCACGCTCCGTGAAGAGTTTCTCTCTAGGTTCCCCAGTGCTTTGTCTGGAGTATATCACAGAGCCCAGCACTGATGAAGAACTGGAAACACAAACATCTGAAGTTCCTTCCAAGATCGGCAACACCATCTGTGTAGGATTATTGGATGGCAAGTAAGTCTGAATACATACCTGTATTGGTCTGGAATGATTTGAGTCATTACATTGCTAATTTTATGCAGTCAGCCACTACTAATTTGCTTCTTTCCCAGGGAAAAGCTCTTGATATTTTGTGTGTGTGTGTGTGTGTGTGTGTTTCTCAAGCATCCTGGTTTATGGAAGCGTGGACACCGCTGCTCAGTGTCTGCTAACATTTTGTAACCCAGAGGGCTGCCCGGTTCTGTGCCTAAAGCAATCTGCCAACTTTCTCTTCGCTGGGCTGAGTAATGGAAAAGTCGCTGTTTATAACCGAAAGAGTGGAGGTAGAATAATTGCAGTGCAATTTGCAGTGTAAATATAGATTAAAGGGATAGTTCACTCAAACATGAAAATTCAGTCATCATTCTGTCATTCCAAAATATGACTTTCTTTTTTCTGTGGAACATAAAAGAAGATATGGAAGTCAATGGTCACCAAAACAGTTTGGTTACCAACATTTGTGTTCCACAGAATAAAGTCAAACAGGTTTGGACATGAGGTAGAGTAACCAATGCAAGAATTTTAATTATTGTATTGACTCTACAATATAACATTTTATAAATTCTATTCAATTTTTAATTTCCTTTGGATTTACATTTGCAGGAAACAATATGTGAACTCTTGGATTTCTGCATGAATTCCATAAAATCTTCAACAAAAGACAAACACAATCTGTTTAAACAAATAACATCTTTATTGGGCACACCATGTAAACATTCACAGGGCAGGGTGGGAAAAAAGTGTTTCCTCTTTACAAAATCATTTCAGTTCAGCAATATTTTTGGGATGTCTGGTGTGAATCACTCTCTTGAGGTCTTGCCAAAGCATGTCAGTCAGGTTGAGGTCAGGACTGGGCCACATCAGATGGGGTATTTTATTGTTTAGTCCTGGGCTTGGGATCACTGTCCTGTTGAACCGCTCAACTTCTGAGTTCCAGTTGAACTTACATCCTGCTGCAAAATGACCTGATAAATTTGGGAAGTGATTTTTCTGTCAATGAATGTAAGCTGCCCAGACCCTGAGGCTGCAAAGCCCCATGATGTCCCTCCACCTCGTTTTTCTGAAGAGCTGCTAACTACTTTCAAACACCTTTGGCTTCATCTGTCCACAGAATATTTCGCCAGTAGCACTGGCAAAACATCCAGGTGCTCTTTTGCAAAGGTTTTTTCATATATACCTCCAGGCCCATCTAAATGGTGAAATTTCAGTTCAGCCAACACACTCTCATAGCAATTTGTACCTATTTTACATTTTGTGAAGTATAATTTGTAGGAATTTATATGATCTCATATATGTTTTTGTACAGTCTGCTTATGCTTGATTGGCTGTTAGGTTTAGGGCTGGACCTTCATGCTTACGTTTCTTCTAAAAATTGTTTAAATCACATCATACGAGTTGTGACAAAAACAGCACTTTGTTAAATAGTTATGTAGAACGGGTTGGGTTAGCTGACTCCAATTAAGTTAATCCAAAATTAAATTCTGTCATCATTTACTCACTTAATGTATTTCCAAATCTGTATCATTGTATTTCCTCAGTGGAAAACAAAAGAAGATACTGAGAAAAATGTATTTTTATCAAAACAATGAAATTCAATGGGGTCAAGTTTGTTTAGAACTCCAGGTAAAAGGTTCACATATTTTTTCCTGCAACTGTATACAGCACCAATGCCTCATTTTTGATAGTGAATATAGTTTTGAGTAATTTTTTTCATTTACTTGTTTAATGCAAACAAGTAAAGTGAAGTGAATTCTCTTCAATTTGAATTTATCCTCTCTGAATCTACTGCTACATTTTTAAAGATGTGTAAATATTAGCCATTTCCAGTAGTGGCTCTTAATCCAGCATGCATTTTCAGTTACAGAGGGGTTGTGGGATCCAGATTCCTGCAGACATGTGGTTATTGGATGCGCTCCCATCCTCAAACTACTCCAAATAGACGAGTGTGTGTGGGCCAGCTGTGCCAACCAGGTCTCTGTGATTGAAGGCTCCTCTCTCAGGACTCAGGTAGAGACTCAGATATCATAGACATTAGATCCTTCTCCTCTCAGAAATGCGTTGGTGAAATTAAAATGTGTTGAATGCGATTCCACCACCTTCACAATGAAGATACAGTGCACAACTGCTTTTCATAAGACCGTATGAGTCAAAAGAGTGAACTGTCACGTCACCTATCAAAGCTTGAGATCTGTTCTGTAACAAAGGTTGGTTTAGGAAAGCTTGAAATTATTCTTTTATTACAGAGTTTTACATTTCATTTCTCTGGCTTCCTGTGCTAGATGCATTATGAGAGAGCATCTTAAGCCACACATAAAAGGTATCCTCCCTGTAGAAGGCCAACAGCATGTTAGGGTGCTAGCCTTTGATCACTTCTGACAGCTGAGCCAACCTCTCTATTTTGCCGCAAGGAGCACCCCCCCC